GTGTGCGTGTACGTGTGTAAGTGTACGTGCGAGCGAGCGAGCAACCGTGTATCCGGACGGTGTTTCCCAATCAGTTTAGCATTAGCGCGGAAAAGTTCTAATTACTCCGTGTGCGGCGAATAACCATTAGTTGCGCGCGCGCTTAAAAATTTTTTCACGCCCGCTCGTTCGCTCGCCAGCTGCTCGCTTCGCTTGCTCGCTCGCTCGAGCGCGGATTTCGTGCGCGCGCACACACGTACCGTACGAGAGGCGAAATAATTACGGCGAAACCCGATTATATCGTCCAAGTTTGTTCGCTCGTTTGGACATTTAACGTGTAACGTGCCCGCCTATGTTCGTCGCTTCAAGATCTCTGCGTCTCGTTCCGCAGGCATGCTCCTCATATTTCAAGAGCGTACGATTTCTTGACGGCCACAATTAACGTTTCCCTGCCCTTCGTGATGATAAAAATTAAATTAAATTGAATCTCCCCATTTCCCGGCGCGACGCAGAGATGCGGAAAACTGTATCTTGCGTTAATTGTTGGTTCTGTGATCCCCACGAATGAATGTCGGGATCATTTTCACGCGTCTACATTTGAACTTGGCGAAACAACCCGTCTGAAATATCCGCTGATAAATACCTATCATTGTTGTTAAGGACAAGCCAAAAGCATACTGTAAATCGCATAACCAGTATTGAATACATCGTCGGAAATGATATCAGCTCCATCGAGCAATCAATCTCAATGGAATTGCATGGCGTATTATGAATCATTTAGCGAAGCCGCTTACACTGCGAAGTCGCATATGTGGGAAAGGGCCGCGGTATTTACAGAGATATCAGATTAATTAGATAGAAACGCTACTCTCTCTCTCTCTCTCTCCCACTCCCGCCTACCGAGACTTCTCGTAAGACACGACGAAGCCGCTCGAAGAAGGCGCGCCCCGGCTGATTATCGCACCCCATCCGGGAGCCGCGTATAAGGGCTGGTATCTGTAATACGTCTGACGTATGCGCGCGAGTTAAATTAAAGTTTGTCGGCGAAACGCCGGCGCCTTGTTTCAAAGCCGTGCGTTAACCGAAAGCCCAAAGTAATCCCACGTACCGATCCCATCGCGCCGCCTCTCCACGTTGCTCCGTTCGCAGCAAGCGCGCGAGCGCGCACAGCCGGGAAAGCGTTATCCCGCGTATCTTTTTTTTTCCCCGTAGGAAAGAGCAATTCCGGTTCGCAATTAATTGCCGGTGCCGCCGCGCGTGCGGCAGTCCCGACGGGCCGAGACGAGCCGCGCGGCCGTCCGCTCCAAACGCGCGTCGCCGCTTAACGACACCGATCGTATCTTATTTTATAAGCGGCGAGGAAATGACTACGCGCACAGAGAGAAAGCGCATCCTAATTATATCCCTCCCGGCGAACGTAACCCGCGAGAGCGCTCGGTCGCTTAAACGGCAACGTGCGATACGAGTTTTAACAACGCGCACGTTTCAATTTTGCAGCCGCAACGGCGAACTTCCGGGCCGAGATAAGACGCTATTCGTTGAGAACCGAGAACCGGTACGCCGCTCATCAACACGTAATAAACGGGCTCGAGGCGCGGAGGGAGCTGACTGATGAATTAATCAGTTATTCGTTCTTCAACACGCGTTCGACTGTGCGCTCGTGAACTTAAAAATGAAACTTTTAACGTTGCTTCCGAAATATCCTCTCGGGAACACAGTGAAGTTACATCGAAATCCGCGGTACCCGCGCAAAATTCATCGCGATATGATCCTTTGAAATATCCCCGCCGAGTTGCAATTTGCCTCGCCGACGAATACTCGGTGTGTCGCGCCGTTACCTAACTTGTAATCGGGATTCATATTCGGAAAACATGAAAACTCGCGTCCCCCGCGCGACCGATGCGAATTATCCGTCCCGCTCGCCGCGGGAAACACGGGTGTAATTTTCCGGCGAGTTTCTCCTCGCTGCCGTTGTCATGCCGAGGGTAACTTTACGTCGCGACGAAGGCCCGCTGTCAAGGTGGCATATCGGACCACCTGATATCCGATGCTGCTTAGACATTCGCTACTCAAATATTCCCGGGATTCCCGCACGACCTGGTCGGCGTGACGACCTCCCGTTTAGCCGGCGAACGGCGTACGCGGGCGAACGTGCACTCACATCACGCTCGTTTTGAATACGCGAAACGCGCCGTGCAATTCCGCGCATTAAATGGAGTCCTTAACCCATTTCGGGCTGGGCCGCAAAAATATCGAGATCTAGGTATTGTTTTAGGGTAATCAAGACCCGAGGAACTCGAAAACCCTAAACTCAGAACTTTCCGACCGGCTGTTTCCCCCGAAAAAAAGATAGTACTGATTTTATAATTTTGATTAGTATAAGTTGTGTTTTTAAACGAATAAATATACAAAAATTAACATTTCGATTATTAATCCAAACCATGTTAAAAACATTTTCACCAAATTTGTTGCGAGTTGCAAATAAAATGGATGACCACGAACAATTATATCTACAAATTATGCCATCTAACGTGACGTCCCATAGCCTTTATCCCCCCTCCCCCCTACCCGTTCCTGCATCCCAGACCATGCAAGCTAATAGACCCCCCCTCTTGTGGTGTAATTGTTGAATGGCCCTTTATGTAATTCGCACCAAGTTACAATAGCAGCTATTTACTCATAATTGTATCGCAGTTGTATACCGATGTTGTCTATATCGCGAGATAATAGCGAGTAGATAATAGTTGGTTAATTACTTTTAATGAAAGTAAATACTTTATCCATCAAGCGAAGCAATTTCGAAGCTTACGAGAGCGCGGCAAGTAAAAAGGAAACGTTAATACCGGGCGAACGCGCGAGAAGATACTACGCTGAAAAGTACAATAAAACACAAGGGCCTTTGTTAGCGATTGTTTCAATATTACGAAAACATTCGCACGCACACAGGACGCGTTGGGCGCGCGAAGCGGAAGAGTTTAAGTACGCCATTAATGAACCGGGGTTGTACAACGCGCAGCTACAGCGCGACCGCGAGATGTGTGCGTGCACGCCATTCTCCTGACTGTCAACCGCCGCCGCCGCCTCGCGCGGAGAGCTTTTTAGCGAACTGTCAAACTCCGCCGAACCGCGAATTACCCATTCCACCGCCACGTCCTACTCCAATGTGCTCTCGCGGGGGCGCACGACGCGGATCAAAGACCCGGGGATTCCGCGAGAACTCTCGAAACATCGATTCTGGGCCGCGACACGCCGCGCGAGATCGTTCGACAGACCGGTCGACTGATCCCGGACAGCGTTTCGCGTTCGCCGGATCCGGTAGTGCTGAATAATCCGTGTTAACGCGATCCCCGAATATATATATTTCCGCTGTCGATCTTGACGAGGGTGCTGCCGCGCGGCTGCATCCATTTCGCAAATACGTGGTAATAAAATTACGAAGGTTAAATCATTTTTTTTATGATTGTCGATCTTCGCGCTCTCGGATGATCGATGAATCGGCGAGTGACGATTGATGACTGACGCGTGTGCGGATGATGTATACACAGTTTTAGTAATATTGTCGATATATATGTTCGACGTCCGAGTGAAAATGGTGAAATTATAATTCAGCGTTTGGATGATGGATTGCTTCCGAAATGGAGATTCCAGCGCACTCAAGCCTACTTATCGGAGATAATATTTATTTGGTTTCAAAACGGACTTTTCTGGAAAATATTTTTATAATTGTTTTCTAATATTTCCCGGCAATATGGGCTTTCCCGAATCGGATATTTGATTTGAAATGATAAGTAACGACGCGAATAAGAATTTGGCTCGCGACGGGGGAAATAATTATTTTCGTCCAATTGTCTTCGTTGAATGCGAGGGTGCATTGAGCCGTCCGAACGGAACTGGTGACAGCTGAGACAACGGAAGTAAGATGGCGACTAACACCGGTGTCTTGTCCCGTCGTTAGGTCAATGTACAGCACAGCGTGAACGCCGGCAAACTCCTCGCATAGTTATATACGTAATTACATACGTAACTTATTGCTGGTACGTCTATTTATTGCAAAATACACACGTGTGCGCGCGCGAGCGCACGCCCGTTGGAAGTTACCGAGCTTCCTCAGTCACCGCAAGCGAGTGCAATTTGTGCCGCGGCTTATTGGCCGGTAGTTATTACTAAAGTTGCATAACTTCACGATGATCGTCGCGAAAAAATGTCCCCGCCCTTTCCTGACTAAAATAATGACTTCGAGATGCTCTCAGCCACGTTTATTAAAACGTCGCTTTATGTCTCTCGCTCATAAACTTTTATTCTATAAACATTGTAAACTTTTATATAAGGTGATAAGTATAACAGGCAAAATATCGCACGCATGTCTAATTGAACGAATAAATTCTTTCTCGACCCTTCCCAAACCTCCTCTATAAAAGAAGCTTCAATTCAATAAAAGTGAAAACAGTTGTTGTATTTCTTAGTACGTTACTCGAGTCCATGCGTTTTGTATCTAAAGTTATATCATCTATAAATAGCAAAATTTAAATGGTAAAGACATCTCGTGGTACATGCGCAGAATTCCAACTGCTCCGAGCACGAATCTTTTCAAGATAAATGTTTAACGACTCGACGTTATCTACAACAGATACAATTTGATCGACTTTGGAAATATGCGATGGGTTTATTTTAGATTTGTAAACCGAGAACGGGTATTTGAACGCAGTGAACATCAGTCGATGGTGCAGGGCTCGACAACGTGTACGCGATCAATACTAGTTTTAAGGTACCCCATCTCTTCTCAGTGCCTGGAAGCTCGTCATGCAACTCTAATATTCGCTATATTTATTTGCGCTAACTTCCCCCGGGTTTGTTTGATCGATAACAAAACCAGATACCTTCAGTAGTCCACATCAATGACAATTATCAAATACCTCGGGAATCGCGATTGTGACTCCGTTAAATAGAAAAATTATATCGGTGCCAATAAGTTGATCAATTTACGCCACGAAGCTGTGAAAAATATCCCGAGGTTATTCAAAATGTCGCGTCAGCCAAGATTGAAGCAACCGGAACACTCTTACCAGACGTGGAAACCTCGTCTCGTTGGCAGAACAAAGTACGTTGAATAATAAGAATAATACTAAAATGCAGAACTCGTGTGTACTTTCCAGGAACGTATTTTGACAATTAACATAGCTCACTCAATTGCATCTTTCATTAATTTATGACACTACATCGCATCTCGCAACAATTCGTCTGATAATAAATAGTTAAATCCACGAACCCTGCAAAATTATGATCACGTGCCGAGAAATCACTGCGCGACCTTTTCACAAATAATATCTAATCGTGTTGCAGATGGGACTCTCCTATTCCTACATCGAAGCGTTATTGGGAGAAGTTCTGCGACGACGAAGAAAAGAAGTTGGTTAGAGTAAGAGATTCCTTTCCAATATTATCCTACCTTCCCGTTGCTCCAAATTTTCGATATTCCGAGACGGTTTTTCACGATATTGTAGATTCCAGCGCCTCCTCCGCTCGAGGCTTCGATGAAAACGTACCTCTCGTAGATCTGAGACTTTCATCCCCTAAAGCGCCAGACATTTCTTTAAGAAACGACAACGAAATTGTTCGCCCTAACACAGAGCCGATAGTTAAAATTTCCCCTCCCACACCGTTAAAGAGGCCACCGAAAAGCGATACTACCACGATCGGCGGGAAGGACGCAGAGGAACAGCGCGTGTGTATTGTCGCTGAAAGAAAAACCGCGATAAAAAGAGTGAGTTCGTATGACGAATCGCAGTCCCTTGATGCTCCGTCCAAAAATTCTATCATGCCACATGACGGATCGGGGGATGGAAAGGTGTATTCAAAGAAGACGTGCCCCTTTCACAGACACGAACCTGCAGTGAAAATTTTCGACGATGATATCGAGAAATATTTGATAGACGATCCGAGAGCGAGCGTCTCGCCGAATCAAAGATTGAGCGAATTGCCGTTACCGCGTGAAGCTCCTAAATATCGCAAAACCAAGGGAAAAATAAATGCCGTTAAGAAAATTAAAGCGATTACTTATCCACCAAAGAAATTAGATCATCAACCGGATGATATTATGAATTTAACGGCAAGTGAAATCGCAAGCGGCGAATCTAAAGATAATGAGGAAGATGTACTGAGTAACCGATGCGAAATTAAGCGAGAAACATTACATTCACAATCTGATATTCTACTATCACGCCTGAAATCTGTTTCCAATAAGAAGAAAGTGACGAACGATTCGAAAATTACGACGTTATTCCCGAAATTGATGCAAACTCGGAGTAAGGTAGAGGCAACATTTGGAAAATTACTGGCGAAATCTTCAAAAACATGGAAATATTCCGAAATTCCTATAATTCAAGACGAGTTTATTGACGAAGCGAAATGACGAAAAATGTCGGATAAAGCACAACATTCGCACGCGCAACTAAAGCGAAAAATCGATAGTGAAAAGCAAGAATTCTTAAATTATTCGCAGCGATACGCGTACAAAGCTTTGAAGCATTCGGCGCTTAATAAAAATTTGAATTTCAAGTCTGAAATGTGGGAAGAGACATCGGAGAAATCGCGCGCTTCCACCGACAGATCGATAGTAGATACAGACGGCATGAAGTCAGACGCGAGCGAAAGTCCCGCCGAATCCGGGACTCGCAGCCCGGAATTTCCTTCCTTTCACGAGCTGCGAGAAAAATTGCGGGCAATGTGGGGCCAAAGTATCGAAGAGAAAGCTTTTAAGTACAAGCTCTTGGGGTCCGGTTCCGGCAATTCCTCGATGATTCCCGCGAAATCGCTGGCGAGGTCCGCGTTCAGCACGAAATTCGCCAGATACGAGACCCGGGAAAGCCGGTCGGCGAATGTCTTAGACGCCCTGCCGAAAGTGTCGTGCTTTCGACGCCGGAACCGTGACAGGTGCTTGTCCTGCATGCATAAGTCCCCCCGAAAGATGGACGAAACCGAAGGCGTCTGTTCGCGAGCGATGTTGCTGCCGGAAGCCGAGGCGAGAGACGACAGCGGGTCGTCCAGTTCCGACGGGCTGCAGGAATTTCAAGAGGAACTGCGAACAATACTATGCGCTCGGCTAGAGGAAATTCCGAGATATCCTGAAAAAGTCAAGGATGTATCGGACAAAACGACACCCTCGTCGCATCGAGTGGAACAAGAGGACACTACGATTTCGACGAAGGTTGACCCGAATCAATTGAAAGGTAAAACGCCGAAAACCACCGGGGGCTCCTTGTCCAAATCCCCGAAGGGCGTGATAAAAGCCACTTCCAGTTTGATCTCGATATCCTCGGGACGATCGAAAATCTCGTCCTCGGAGACGCACACCTCCGACGACGAGGAGCCGTCGTCACCACGCACGCTTGGCGACGACCCGTCGCGGTACAAAAACATGGCACCCTGTCACTTGCCCACGGTCCTTCTGCACAGTATGGAGCCTTTGCGGGCCTTGAAGCAGAGGAAACCGACCACCATGGAGGCGCGAATCGCCCTCATGGAGAGCGCGACGTCGACGAAGGAGAAATCCGACGACGAGTATTACGAGGGCGCGAAGGCCCAGAGCGCGCCGGAAAAGAAGTCGAGGACGGTCGAGGAAAGGCCCGGAAAAATCGGCGGGGAAAAGGACGCGTCCTTGGTGAGGCCGAGGGCTCTGTTGAAAGTTAAGTCGGAGCGGCTGATCCCGTCAATTGTAGAACCCGCGCGAAAGGACGAGCTGAGACGAGGATACAGTTGCGCGAGCATCCAGGATTTATCGAAGGATTCTACGAGAGGTACGCTCGAGATTCCTCGCAACGAGGCGGAAGATGAGCGAGGGGAGGTAATCTCTTCGGAGGAGGTAGACTCCGTGAAAGAGTCGGCTCCTCCCGGCCGGACGACGGAGGCAGAGAGACGCGCGGAATTACCGCTGTCGACGGCCGCCGAAATCTCACGATTTCTAGAGGGAGCGATTCGCGAAGACGAGTCGCCGGCGATCGTGCTGGAAATGCTCGCGAACGAGTTTTCCTCGCGGGTGATAAAGCAACACGACGCCGGCACGGCGGCGGCAATAAGGCGCGCTAAATTAGCCGCGAGATTAACGAAGTTGTTGGCGGACTCGAAGCGTTATTTGAGCCCTGATAAGTTCCCGTCTGACCTCGTTTTCTCCGTGAAACAGCCCCCCATTTTCAATTCCCGCCTGCTCCAACGTATTCTGCCGCTCGACTCCTACGATCTCGTCGCACCGATATTGGGCATGCCGTTCTGTTGCCCGGAACCTGTGCTAAAGAAGAAGGACGTGCGTATAGAGATTTACGAGGAGGAAGAGTCGGACGGCGAGGTCCCCTTCGACTTAGTGGTGCGTGTGTGTTAGAACAATCAAACATCTTCCCTCAGTCCCGAGACGTTAAAGTCCCCTTTTATATATTCGAGCAAAATTTCCGAAGAAAACTTCACTCTGAAAAATATTTTATACTTGTGTCAAAATTGGTCTTTGTTCAGAGTTTTGTGTTAAATTTTTCACATATCTGTGTGTTATTATATTGTGTTTATGTATCTCGGTATTTTGACATGTTGTGACTTGAACATGATCAGAACCGATCGAGCTTTGATTCGCGAGGCTCTGATTATATCGCAAAGACACTCTTCTCACGTTGAACGAATCAGCAACCAATGTCAAAGTTGAAAGCTCAATATCCCACTCGAATTCTGTCGTTCTCATGGCCGGCACTCCGTTCCGTCGGCCGTCGATCGTTTATTAGTCGAAAGTAAGCGCCTTTGTACGCCCCGCAGGTGCATCCCCCGACGAGCAAAGACATTTCGCGGGATGAAGTAGGTCAGATCAAATTGAATCCTTACGCTCTCTTTTTGAAGAAGCCGCGACGCAAGGTACGACGATGAAATAATATTACCGCTCGCGCGCCTCTGAAATCCTCGCGCGCAACCGCCGAGGAGACGGACGGGTTTTGCTGCGTGTCATAATACCGAATATCGTCGCGATCAGGTTGTCACTTGGCGTCCTTTAACGGCGGAAGACCTCAAAGGCTACGATCCCGAGGCCACCCTCGAAATGAGAGCCAGAAATATTACGGACAGGATATGCCGTGACTTCTGCGAGTGGCTGCGCGTTTTAGGCGGCACCGACAAACTCATCGACGAGGACGTCCTCCGAGATATGTTCGAGATTGAATTTACGGCCGAGGCCAATAGAACGATACAGGTAAGTAGGTAGCGAGGTAGGAAACTAGGTAGACACGGGCAGATAGGTAGGCAGAGAAACAAAGTACAACGGGGCGAGCGCGACCCGGCTTCCGTAATGCGTTTTCGCGTGAGATAGCCCTTCAACATCATAATGCGATGCATGATGATGCGCACGCACTCCGACACGGCGATACACGGACGCGAAATTCGAATTATAACTTCGGCGTTACCATCAAAAGGTCGGCTTGATTGCGGCCGCGTCTCGCGAATAAAACTCGAATGCGTCGAATCTCCCGTGAGGAAAGCCCAACTAATTTTTCGCGCGTCTCGGCTTCGCCGACGCTTAAGTTGGCAACAGAGCTGGCCCGTTTCATTTTAATGTGGTTTTTCCGCGGCTCTTCCCTCGCGTTTCTTGAGCAGATCGTAGTAATTCGGTGCGAGAAGCCGGGATCGATCGCGGAGACGCGCGGGCGAGTTGCGCCGTGAAATGAGGAGGAAATAAAACGTTTGACGTTCGATTATGTTAAATGCGCGCTGCGCGAGACAGATGTCGATGAAGGAAATGCCGATGGTGCCCAGCGTGGTAGCCGCAGCGAGACAATGTCACGACGCGGCCGAGCTCGCTATGACCAGGAAGCACCTGATTAGAGACGCCGAAGCGGAGACTAAGCCGGCCAAAACAATGGCGTTCGGCACCATGATACCCTGGCAACATCAATTTGTACCGCCCGAGAATCGCGTGGAGGAGACGTGGATGCGGTGCGAAAACGTGATGCTGGATCTCGAGACGATGGATGTGGTTTGGGACGGGATAACGCATCTGGAGAGCGTCAGGTCCTTCGTCAAGTGGCTTCGCGAGCGTCCGCAGGTGAGAGTCCCTCGCGATTCTGTCACCGCGAGATCCGAATCTCTATTGAATCGAACGTTTCATTTTTCCAGATCTCGCTGCCGGACGCGCTGATGAGCGCGAAGATCACGAATCCTTGGAAACGGTCGATCGCAAGCCATTCTCTCGCGCACTAGCGCGCGTAGAATAAATTAAGCGGTTTCGAAGTCGATCGCGGCTGACATCGTTTAACGCGCAATCAACGCGGGTAAAGCGCGGAAAGAAATAGCCCATCGACAATTCGGAAGTTGGTTCTACCGCTCGGCGTCTACACACCGGGCGCCAAATACGTTCGTGTAACCGATACGACCACACGATGACACGACGCAGAACGCCCATTTCCTGTATGCGGCGAACGGTTAACCTCCGTAGCCGCCGTGGATGCTTCAATTGCGAACAATTCCCGGCGAAATTTCGACAAACGTTCAATTACGGGACCTAATTCTCTGCTAATGACCGTCGCGCGCGCGCGCGTTTCGCGCCCCCCCCCCCCCCCCCCC